CAGCTTGTAACAAACCTATGCCCAGGAGTGACCCCCATACTTCCTGCTTCAAGTGCCTGAGGGAATCACATCAGAAGGACCGTTCCAAGATTCGTAGGGGATTTCTCCCCAGGACTCAAAAAGAAAGAGACCGGTGGGCAAATATTCTTCTAAGAGGGCCATCCTATGTCCCCACTCAGAGTTAAGTTCGGTGGAACCATCTCCTAGCACCTAACGTGTGCAGTGCTCCAGCACCGACACTGGAAACTTCGGAGCTGAGAAAGGACTTGATAGAGAGGCTTGGTAGTAAGAGGGGTCTACACATTGCAGCATGTGGTACCATTCCCAGTCCGTGGTGCCCAGTGGTGAAAATGAACAAAAGTTTTTGTTGGTGCGGGAGGGAGAGGGCACTTCATCTGAGAACATAAAAACGTAAGTTATATATGGACAAACATTATGTTCTTATGTTTTTGTCACTATAGGAGGGGAGAGAGCACATCACCTGTGGGGGCTGACATGACTCCCCATGTGACTCTGTCCTGCCCTCAGTCCAGGACCCCCATGTTCTTCCTCTTCCCTTCCCTCATTGCCTGGTGGAGCAGAAGACCTCAGGGCAGTATGGCAGCTGGAGGGAAAAGGAGCTGGGGGGGAGGAATGGAGCAGAACCCTAGCCCCTGCATGGAGCTGCAGCATCTGTGTACAAGGCTGGAGGCAGAGTTCTACTCCTTTCCCCACTAGGAGGGGCAGCTGAAAAAGGAGAAGAACTCCCAGCCTCTCCATGGGGCTCAGTCTCTGTCTCTAGGGCTGGGAGGGTCAGGGCTGGCAGTTTTGCTCCTTTCCCACCTGTCCTTCCCAGCAGGGAAAGGAGCAGAACTCCTAGCCACACCCCACAGTCCTGTACATAGACACAGCAGCTCCGTAGAAGAGCAGGAAGCATACAGCCATGCCAGAGAGCCTGAGGGGAGATGTGAGGGGGCAGTTGGCTCCTCCTATTGTACTGGCTAAAAATAGCTTGATAGTACGGCATGCCAGAGTGTACCGCCCTACTTGTGGTACGGCCGGTGCCAGAAGAAGCAGCCAGGCAGAGGATGCTCGCTCACACTGAAGCCGGGACAGAAGAACTCAGATGCAGCCAAATCTGCATTGGGCCACGTAAGTGTGGCACCACCTAGCCTGGTGCCATTGACTCCTGCCCCAACAAGGGGTCAGCTGAGTCTGGTTCATCAGAACTCCCCTCCCCAGGAGAGTTGCAACATGGCTTTGGAGCTGCCCTCCACAACAGAGACCTGGGAAGGAGGGAGGAAAGAGAGCCATGGCACCACCTTTCCCGCCCAGGTGAGACAGGGCACCAAGCTCAACGGCAATGACACCCCCAAGACCTCTAGCACCAGTGGACACTGCTCCCCATGATCCTCCCAGAGTGAGTCCTCCTAATCAGAATTTAGGGGGGGGGTGTCTTTTGTGTCCAGGCAGCACTGGCACAGATTTGAGTGCAGATGCTCAAGGTCAGAGACAGCAATTCCCCCCAATGCTGTAGCCCACGCAGTGGTAGGTTCCAACCCAATGGCCATTCTGGACTTCCTGGTCATTTCATCAAAGCCAGGGATTCTATTCCAGGTCTGTGTTGGACCAGTTGCCTCATGCTGTCCTGATCACCACACTGGAATACCTGACACTGTGCAAGCCTCTTGGTGCCAAGGCCAGGAGCAACAGCTTTTCCTGGATAGAACCTCATTTTCATCATCATTGGTTGAGGCAGTGGCTGGTACCTCCTGAAGGGAGAGGTCTAGAACCTGGGCCTCCAAGTGGAGGAGGTCTCTAAGTCATCCGACCCCATGATGGACATTCTGACCTCTTTAGGGACTTTCCTGAGTTGCTTTGCCTTGCCATTCACTAACCTCATACAGGACAACACTAAAATGTTGTGGCAGCCCCTCCTCTGGCAGATCTCCCCTGTCTTCAATGGCAAAAAGGACAGAAAGGAAGTATTTTGTCTTCTCTAAAGGATTTGAACACTTTTATTCACTCCTACCACCAAACTTCTTATTGGTGGTGGTGGCAAATGAACGAGAATGTCAAGGACACCGAGGTTCATCACCTTAAGCCTGAGATGCAAAGAAACTGGACCAGGAGGAAAGTTTATTCTACTGAGAGGCTCCAGCTTTGGATTTCCACCCCCTATGCAGTCCTTAGAGATATAACTTCAATTCCTATGGGGCGATGTCAAAATTCACTGAGCTTCTGCTAGAAGACTCAAGGGCAGAGTTTTTCACTTTGGTGGAGGAGAGCAAGCTTATCATACAAGGTCTCAGATGATTCCCTACCACCATGGCATGGAATTGCCCGAAGCTCCTTGGCCACATGACTGCCTGCACTTACATAGCACAGCATGCCAGACGGAGGCCCTGACCCCTTCAGGTGTAGCTAGCTTAAATGTATCAACCAAACCAAGACATTCTAAACAAGGCAGGCACTCTTTGCTGATTCTCAAGTCTCTCCTAGGATGGCTCAACCCGCAATCTGTGTGTGGGGGAATTCCCTTCTCTAGACCACAGCTGTTCCTTCACTGGTCAGCAATGGGTTGGAGAGCGCATCGGGGATCTTAGGATTCAATACTTCTGGTCCCCAGCGTGGAGTTCTCACTTCATATCTGGAAGCTGAGGACAGACCTTCCAAGCTCACTCGGAGGGAAGATGTCAGTCATGGCAGACAATACAATAGCAACGCTTTATATAAACAGATGGGAGACCGCACACCTCTTCCCTGTGCCAGGCAGTCCTCAACTTGTGGGACTTCTGTGTCACCTACTCAATACACTTATCTTATCTCTCCAGAGTTCTAAATGCGTTGGAAAACCATCTCAGCAGATCCTTTCACAACTATGAGTGGCCCATCTGCCTGCACATCATGAACACCATCCTCCGACAGTGGGGAATTCCCAAGATAGACCTATTCATGACGAGACACAACAGAAACTGTCCACATTTCTGCTCCTTCCTGGATCACAGCCTCGCTTGATCAAGGATGCCTTCCTTTTTCCCTGGAAGGACAACTTCCTTTATGCATTTCCAGGTATTCCACTCATCCACAAGATATTCATCAAGGTCCAGAGGCACAAAGCCTTGAAAATAATTATAACTCTAGCCTGGCTCCATCAGCACTGCTACACATCTCTTCTGAAGCTGTCAGTGGAAACTCCAATCACTCTACTTGTAACTCAGGACCACAGCCATTTTCAGGATCTCACCCTTGAACTTCTCCATGTCACAGCTTGGAAGGTCCATGGCTACACCTAATGAAGCTTGCTTGCTCGGATACAGCTAGGGAAGTCCTCCTTAGCAGTAAGAAGCTGTCTTCTAGAGCCACACATCTAGACAAATGGAAGAGATTCACAATTTGGTCATTTCAGAAACACATGTCTTCTAAGCACTCAATAATACCTTTTATTTTGGACTACTCTACTCACCTGAAGCATAAATAATCATAAATATAAAATATTTTCATAAATAAAAGTCTGCCTTTCACCCAGGCATGGTGGCCATTTGGTCTTTGCCAACTCACTAATTGGTCGCTTTCTTAAAGTACCTGATAGGCTATACCTTCAAATATGACAACTGATCCTAGCCTGCCATAGCAGGGTTTAACCTAGTGCTGGGGGAGGCAAGCCCCAAGCTCTTCCCTGCTCCCCATGCTCCCCCACAGGAGTCAAGCCCCCCATAGGGGAAGCTTACGCCCTGAGCACATGTGGCCCCAGCCCCACCCCCCTCCAAGATAGGTGGCCAGCAGCCCCCGCCTTCCCCAGACTCCAGGTCTCCTGGACTATGGGCAACCTGTGGTCTCAGCCTTCCTCTCCCCTCCTGAGCACAAATGGTCCATGGCCTCAGCCTCCTCCCCTCCAAGCAGAGGGAGGACAGGTAGCTCCCCCCATCCTCCCCAGCCCTGATGCACAGGGAGGGCTGGCAGCACAGGGTGAAGCCTAGGCAGCCCCAGGAGACTAGGGGAGCCAAGTTGAATCAGGAGGGGAGAGACAACCTGAGGGTGGAGTGTGGGTGGGATTAGCTAGGCAGTTTGGGAAGGCATTGCCTTCCCCTGCCTCTTATACCTGCTGCCCATGACTGCTGTCCCCACTTTTGAACCACCTGCAACATCTCTCATGAAAGATAGCAGTCCAGGCAGTCCCTGGGCCAGTCACACCAGTCGTAGCTTGGGTAGTCTCCCCTGCCACTCCAAGCAGCAGCAGTTTGGCTGTGGGAGGGGCCTGGGAGTTGAGGGGGCTGGTAGGGTTGAGGGCTCTGGGTGGCGTTTATCTTGGGGGGCTCCCCAGAAGCTGACACATCCCTCCTCTCCCGTCCCCTCCCCAAACCCGAAGTCCCCTCTTGCGTCCCAAACCCCTCTTCCACGAGCCCACCCCAGAGCACTCACACCGTCCTGCACCTCAACCCGTTGCTTCAACCCACAGCCCTCTCTGCTCCAAATCCCTCTGCCTGACCCCCCAGCCTGGAGCCCTTCTTTCACCCCAAACTCCTCCTCACCAGCCCCACTTCAGAGCCCACATGCCCTGCTGTAGCCCTCACTCCCTCTTGCACTCAGCTATCTGCCTCAGCCCAGAGCCTCCATTTAGAGCCAAACCCACATTTACAGGCCTTGGACCTACCCCCGCCACACACTGTCCATGTGCAGAATGACTTTTGTTATGGGATACATCGCCTCCATATTGGTGAACATACCGAAAGTCATTCCGCACATGGACATAAAAAATTAGAGGGAACATTGGTCCTCTAGGCTGGCTTAGACTTTCTGGGGCTTGGAGCCAAAGCCTCAGGTGGTGGGGCTCATGTTACCGGACCTTTGTCCTGAGGTGACAGGGCTTGGGTAGGATTAAGCTTTAGACCCTCCTCCTGAAGTCGTGCCGTGTCTTTTGTTATCAGAAGAGCATGGCAGTGCGCTGACGTTCGAGAACCACTGCACTGTTTAAGTGATGGAATGCTAAGTGCATATTATGCTTGCTCTGCTGTTTCCAGGGGAAGCGAATTGTCAGTGAGAAACGGAGTTCAGATGACTTTCTGAGCCAAGGTGGGGACCTAGATCTGAGTGAGGAAGAAGTGGACCATCTGGTAGCTTTCCACAAAGGGAGACGGATGCAGATTGCCATCACCATGGACAACAAGGAAAAAGTGAGTGCATTCCAAGTATCTGTGTCCTAAGGACCAGTGTGCTATCAGTGGGCTAGTGGATAGCGGAGAAAGAGTCTGTCTCTGAAAGCATTCTGGCACCAGGGCATTCGGAGAGAGTGTTTTTAGCAGTGTGGGAGTTACCACAGCTAAAGCTGTCTGACAGTGCTAGCTTAGAAGGAGACAAGGCCATAGGCCCCTATCCACTTCCCCTTTTCTGTGATCCTAGTGCTAGCTATCTCCAGACTTGCTCACTTTGGACCTCAGCAGATTTATGCTTCCCATAAGAATCATTTATGATGCTTCTTTGGGTGGAACAAGGAGAGGAGCCGGCATTGCCATGTTCTACCAAAACATCCTGTTATCAAGGCTGGTACAAAAATATTTCCCAAGGATAACAGAAACATGCTGACCCCTTTTAAATAATACGATTAGAATGACAGTATGTTATAGAAATGTTTTAATCGAATCAACATGTACAGGGTGGTGGGGGATAACTAGCCATGTCAGCGGGCAATACTAACTTGTTTGCATTGGGAATAATGATGTATCTCCAAGGGAGTATCTCTGTCCAGCCTAGGGAGGGATGGAAAGTCCCGCCTGTCACTGAACTGGTCCATTCTTATGGGCATACACGGGGCTGACGAAGTGGGGGAGAGGACAATTGCCCTCAGGCCTTGCCATTTAAAAGGGCCCCGGGCTCCGGGCCACTACTGCAGCAGCGGCTGGAGCCCTAGAAACTTTAAATTGCTGATGAAGCCCCAAGCAGCGCTGGGGTCTGGCTGGAGCACTACACCTCTTCTGCCGAAGGCCCTGCCCCTTCTGGTGGCCCAGAGCTGAGCCCCCCTTTACTGCCCAGAGCTCGCTAAAGTCTGTTGCCAGCCCTGAGCGTACACGTGTTTGTGGTTTGGTAGAATCTGTGGGATGGTATCAACCTTCATGTACAGTATTGCCAACACCAAGAGTGTGTCTAGACTACAGGGTTTTGTCTACAAAAGTGGACTTGTCAACAAAATTATACTTGCATCTACACTACCGCCGTGTTCTGTCGGCAGAACGTGGCAGTTGTGTCGACAGCGGTAAACCTTGCTTTATGAGGAATAATGCCTTTTTTCGTCAGAGTTCTGTCGAAAAAAAGGCACTATTGCATGTAAACTGTGCTTTTTCAAAAGAGAGCATCTACACTCTCTTTTGAAAAAGCAGCTTGCTTTTTCAACAGAACTGGCTAGTCTAGATGCTCTTTTTTGACAGAGTCTCTGTCAAAAAAGGTGTGCAGGCCAGATGTAGTCCCAGAGTTCAGAACTCATGAATCAGGCCTTTCGCCTCCCAAAAAAAGAATGGTTTCTTGAAATCACAGATAAAAATACTCGTGGGGATCTTTTCTTTTTGGCATCTGTTGTTTGAGATCTTTGGCTGAACTTGGAGCATGCTTTCTAGCTTTTCTCCACAAACCATGAGATGTAAATTCTTCTTTTAAAACAAGAAAGAAAGAAAGAAGGCCAAGATTCTCTTCTAATACCATGCAACAACAAACAAGCATAAATAAGACCCATTACAGTTGACAGTGGTGCAAGAGGCATCAGATAGTGAAGTTCCCAGATCTGGCTTAATTCTAATAACATGGCTGGGGCTTTCCAGGAAAAAAGCCCCCAGTTCTCAGGAGGCTTGTGATCAAATCGGGAGAGTTGGTATCACTGATATCTAGTCAGTTTCACAAAATGAGTTAATATTTGTACAGCTTACCCCTGTGGACTGGATGGCTCTGCACACACCTCCCTCAGGCCAGAGGGGTGTGCTGGCAGCAGCATCAAGCTAGCAGGCAGAAGCCCCTCTAGCCCCATTCTCTGCCCATGGTGCCTGCAGGGGCTCCTGGTGACTTTTAAATCACCCTGGGGCAACAGGTGGAGCTGGAGGATGCACTGGGATGGAGGGGGAGAATGATGCACAGAAACCCCAGGGGCCTGCCAGAGAGAGCTGTCATTGGCCCACTAGACCAGAGGGTTGTGAAGACTGGCACTGGCCCTAAGTTAAACTGAATTTGAGATCCCTGCTTTACATTGAGTGTCACAAAGAAGCAGATAAGTCAGCAGATTGAGCTACCATTGAATGCCCAGCAGCGCAGGGGATTTACATGATAGCTAGTGTAATAGCTATGCCACACAGCCCCTGCCTTAGGGGAACTGTCACAGCATGTTTGGGGAAGAGGGAGTGTGATCTGTGCACCAGTTCACTGTGGCTATTGGCTGCTCAAACAGCCCTTTGGAGTCAGAGGAAAGCAGTTAAAGCAGCTTTGAGGCTTATGCCACGGGAATTGATAAAAGCCATCTTTCCTCTCTCCCCATTGCCTGCATGAAATGTACCTCCTGCAGAGCTAACCATTAGAGCCTTAAAGTTTGAGAAAAGGGAGCTGCATTTACCAAGCCCTGTCTCGTCTCCATTCCGTGCCCTGCCTGCAAGCCATGCTTCACCATAGTTAAAACTAAACAGAGGAAATTTCAAAAATAGAAACATTTTCTGGGCATGCTCAGTAGGGGTCACTACTGCTTTATAAAGGGAGCCTGCCAATCAAATTCTCCTCCTCCAAAATGAAAATAGTATGTCACAACTCGGTTTTTAGGCAGACTCTGTAGAAACTCCAAAACAGCCTCAAAGGCTTGGTTTTTCCTCCCCTCAGATAACTTTCTGATCACACTATGCTACCACACGTTACCATACCATGTTCCCAATTAACTCAGCTAACTGCATATACCAGGGAGAGGAGTCGATATTTCCCTGTTGCTGCCTCCTGTTCCCCATTTGCAAATGGCCAGTGTACTTATTGGGCTCTGTCAAAATTTAATTTGGATAAAACCCAATTAATGCTTCTCTGCAAACGCTGAGCCTGTGTAGTCACTGATGCTGTGTTGTCCTCCTGCAACATATGTATTCATGTTTCAATTTTGAAACTCAAGCAAGTGGTCTGGGTAGGGAAGGAGAGAGAACCTACACCTTGGGGGATATGTACGTATGAGGGGTGATACTGAGCTATGACAAAGTGGATGTCATTATCCACTCTAAGAAGACTTTCACATAGAGGCAGCAGGTTTGCAAAAATGCCCGGAGCCCGCACCCCCCCACACACACACATTCAAACTCTCCTCCCCCCATGCCACCTGCCTAAGGCTCTGAGAAGAAGCTGGGGTGGGGGAAGAGTATGGGCTCTGGGAGGGAGTTTGGGTGCAGGAGAGGTGAGAGGTGGAGCTTTTGGGGCTTCATTGCAGGTGGGGGTCTGGGGTGCAGGCTCTGGGAGGAGTTTGGGGATTGGCACATGGGAGACATGCAGGATGCAAGCTCCGAAAGGAAATGTAGGTGCAGGTGAGGGTTGGGGTGCAGGCTCTGGGAGGAAATGTGGGTACTAGCTCTGGCCTGAGGCAGAGGGTGGGGGCCCTGGGTGCAGGCTCTAGTAAGGAGCTTGGGATCTGGAGTAGGAAGAGGGAATGTGGAGTAGGACAGGGTCGACAGAGAGGGTGCAGGCTCAGGAGGAAGTGGAGTGCACAAGGGAGAGAGGGATGCCACACTTACCTGGGGGCACCCCCCCCCCATGGCAGTGGCTCCTGGGGTCTTTTTGGCATCTGTTGTTTGAGATCTTTGGCTGAACTTGGAGCATGCTTTCTAGCTTTTCTCCACAAACCATGAGATGTAAATTCTTCTTTTAAAACAAGAAAGAAAGAAAGAAGGCCAAGATTCTCTTCTAATACCATGCAACAACAAACAAGCATAAATAAGACCCATTACAGTTGACAGTGGTGCAAGAGGCATCAGATAGTGAAGTTCCCAGATCTGGCTTAATTCTAATAACATGGCTGGGGCTTTCCAGGAAAAAAGCCCCCAGTTCTCAGGAGGCTTGTGATCAAATCGGGAGAGTTGGTATCACTGATATCTAGTCAGTTTCACAAAATGAGTTAATATTTGTACAGCTTACCCCTGTGGACTGGATGGCTCTGCACACACCTCCCTCAGGCCAGAGGGGTGTGCTGGCAGCAGCATCAAGCTAGCAGGCAGAAGCCCCTCTAGCCCCATTCTCTGCCCATGGTGCCTGCAGGGGCTCCTGGTGACTTTTAAATCACCCTGGGGCAACAGGTGGAGCTGGAGGATGCACTGGGATGGAGGGGGAGAATGATGCACAGAAACCCCAGGGGCCTGCCAGAGAGAGCTGTCATTGGCCCACTAGACCAGAGGGTTGTGAAGACTGGCACTGGCCCTAAGTTAAACTGAATTTGAGATCCCTGCTTTACATTGAGTGTCACAAAGAAGCAGATAAGTCAGCAGATTGAGCTACCATTGAATGCCCAGCAGCGCAGGGGATTTACATGATAGCTAGTGTAATAGCTATGCCACACAGCCCCTGCCTTAGGGGAACTGTCACAGCATGTTTGGGGAAGAGGGAGTGTGATCTGTGCACCAGTTACCTGTGGCTATTGGCTGCTCAAACAGCCCTTTGGAGTCAGAGGAAAGCAGTTAAAGCAGCTTTGAGGCTTATGCCACGGGAATTGATAAAAGCCATCTTTCCTCTCTCCCCATTGCCTGCATGAAATGTACCTCCTGCAGAGCTAACCATTAGAGCCTTAAAGTTTGAGAAAAGGGAGCTGCATTTACCAAGCCCTGTCTCGTCTCCATTCCGTGCCCTGCCTGCAAGCCATGCTTCACCATAGTTAAAACTAAACAGAGGAAATTTCAAAAATAGAAACATTTTCTGGGCATGCTCAGTAGGGGTCACTACTGCTTTATAAAGGGAGCCTGCCAATCAAATTCTCCTCCTCCAAAATGAAAATAGTATGTCACAACTCGGTTTTTAGGCAGACTCTGTAGAAACTCCAAAACAGCCTCAAAGGCTTGGTTTTTCCTCCCCTCAGATAACTTTCTGATCACACTATGCTACCACACGTTACCATACCATGTTCCCAATTAACTCAGCTAACTGCATATACCAGGGAGAGGAGTCGATATTTCCCTGTTGCTGCCTC